TWWTTTTYCMWWAAGTAACAACAACGTTGCGTACTGCCCTGACATGGCTTTGATACTCCATATTAATRTGCGGAAATCCTATTAAAGGMTGTTAWCAATTTTAATAACCTTTACTTTAAATTCACATTAAAACGTCGTCCTATGCTGTGTTTAAAATCATCCGCCATTTTGTATTATATTTATCAATACCACAATGCATTTCGATTAAACAAATGTGACGTCATGAGCCTGAGGATACCCAACCCCATATACAAATACAGCAGGACCAAGGGTTATCGTGCATTCTTTCTCGATTCTTTCTGTAGTGGCTGAMAGAGGAGCCTACAAATTGGCCATTGATTGGTGGTCTATCAGGTGGTGCATTTGTTGTSCTGGTCATTGTCATTGTAATCATTTGCGTTCTTAAAAGACGAACTGCGAAGGTGAAAGCCTTGGAACAAGAAGAAATTGAAATGAAAAAACGCGAGAAAGGAAAAAATGTGAAAGGTGAATAAAGCWAGCTATCCATAAAATCATTCTYGGCGGGAACCYAGCGTCAATCTTTTACCTCGTACTTTCCGAGGATAATCAGAAATGTATACCAGCTAGCTTCATAATATGCAAACTTCAGATGCATTTCAAAMTGTGCACCTCACATGTGCCCAGTTCAATTCAAACAATACATGCATCAAATGATACTTTGCTTCAATCTATGTACCTCATTGTATCACTGAATTGGCCACACGCAAGATGCGACGTTTCAATCAGTACAATATTCGTACATTGAGAGAGATTAGTCATTATTTATATAAGCATATCATCTTGAAGTCATAGATCTAGGTTTAATGTAAAAGCAATCAATATGTCTAAAATATATTAGTTTCTACTTCTGACATTTTGTAGAAAAGCTGCAAAAATTCATGTCTAGCAGACGACGTTCCCAAAAGAAAAACAGCCAACCTAAGGGACGAGAAAACAAGTACAGCGTTCGACAAGGCGAAATCAGTGTCAACGGTAAGTACCCACCACAATCATGATAAAACAACAAGATTTTAATCACAGTATAACGTAGATATAATACAAAGATCATAGACATTTTGCTCTCGTATTCTTTAGCTTGTGATTGTCTAAATCTTTCGTATAATGTTTGAAAAATTAAACACCAGGCGTCGACCAATCACAAACTAGCCTGAAATAAAAATTAAATCCCTATTTGTCGGGGAATGAGGTTTTTGTCCTTTAACCAACATATGTTGCCTCACTCGTTTTTTTTATTAGCCCATTATCGCTGTTATCGAATGATTGCTTAGTGTTATGCAGTTAAAATACTAAGGGCTTTAATATTCTCCTATTATAGACAGATTAAAGACATTCGAGAGGACGACACCTGAGTCTTCAGACAGTAACAAGGTAGGCAATCTTTTTTTTTTAAAAAAAAAAACAAGGTATGAATCATGAAATAGTCACTGGAAAAATCGCGCGCTTTAGTTAAAGGTTGTAAATTTGATGTAAATATGATGTAAGTGTCCAAAATTCTGTAAATTTGATATAAATGATTTCCATTACAAAATTTACAGAATTTTGGACACTTACATCATATTTACACCAAATTTACAACCTTTAAAGCGCGCGGTTTTTTCCAGTGTGGTGGTCTKCGCATACAAGCATACCACTATAAAAGAGGCAATCGAGGTCAGCATGTGACTCAGGCCAAAGAGATATAACGTTGCAAGGAACTGGGAGCATTACGTGGCGATCAACCATTACGTTGCCTATGAATACACAACAKGCGGCGATTCCCAGGGGCCAAGGAACCTATTGTGATGGTTGATTATTCCTCCCGTGAGACCTGACGCGGGGCGCCCCCTGTTTCCCTGCCTACAGTAAACATATCCATCTAAAAGATTCGGAAAAGGAATTTTTATCCACGACATGGAGTTCTTAGAGCTTTAAGCTGTAATCAAAGACATCTTTCTGTATCTGTTGACTTATAAACTCATGATTAATCCTCGAACGTTTTCTTCGATAAAATGTTTATCATTATCTAAAATGTATTTTTACATCTATGTTTTAAAATTACTATCATTCGCCTGATTATAGTTTTTCATCTGTRTAATATTATCAAGAACGAAAATGTGGAACATTTTGGTTCTAGAGGTCTTTAATTGTCTTCCGTTTAATCCCAGCAATTATCTGCCTGGTTTGTAAASCCAGAGTTAGTAGAGGGGAACTAGTTCGCTTTAACTAACTCTGGTAAACCACTTACGTTAAGAATTTCAAGAGATTTGTGCCGTTGTCAGTTATCCGAATACTTGTGATCTCTTTCTGATATAAGAACTGTACACCTTTTCCTGTGATGATTTGGAAAACAATAAGGACATTTAAACATCTCGGTGAAAGCCGTCACATTACATCGAGTACATCGGTATTCGGCCGCAAACCAGCACTCAGCACCCRTCCCYACCCCCAYCAAATAATRAWTCMACTGAAGAATGATTATGCAAACCCTGTATCGTTTGCTAATTTCCGAGCTGAGCTCTGATTGGCTCCCTGATCCCTGAGGATTTTGGTGACGTCATATATTAGCATAGAACTTCACCGAATAGACTACCCCAATTAGATATTAGATATCCATAAGTGTMTYCATAGTACGATGGTCTAAGAGGGTAGCTAGAGGTATGCTCTAGTGGGCGGCTACCCCCTCACTCCCTGGCCTTTTGGTTAAGACTAAGTTTTATGTTCACTCGGGATAGCGTGGAAGAGCCGAAATCTCTAACCGTAACGTAAGCCGATTCGACGCCTCAGCTTCACAGAATGTCTCGGGGGAATCGTCCCATCTTTTTAGTATTTTATTTTCATTATATCTTATGTATTCAGGGGGGTACATCTTCTCTTGAAGTGAAAGTTCTGAGTTCGAGTCCTGCTTCTGGAATTTCTCTTTCTTTTTCGTTTGTTTCTTGTTTTCTTTTCTTCTTTCTTTATTTTTTCTTCAGTTGGTTTCTGTTGTTATTGCGTTTGTTTGTTTTTTTTTTCTAGAGATTTTATCTTTTCAATAATTTTTAAACATATCAAGGACTCGCAAGGAACGCCTGCTACAAGTGGATAGTTCCGGTTCCGGTCACTCAACACGATGACACAGTGCCGAGAGGCCCCATAAGGCCTATCGTCACAAAAATCAAACAAGAGTAAAACTTTCAATTGATACCCCGCAACAATAACCATTCAAAATACTTGAAATGCGTCTGCCCTCGATACTCCAACAACTCTGAGATGTTTGTAAACTTTCAAGTCAAAAATACACTTTCGATGGTTCTTGGGCACTAAATATTTTTGAACTGTAATAAAATAAACAGCCACGCAATTTACGAGCGCACCAACTGAATAAACGGGGAGTGGATTTATGTAATATCCTCTAAGTTCCCTATGATTTGCTTATATATGAAAGAATTATTGTTTATACTGATCTTTAATAGACCACCAACAAGCCTCGTTCACCGGTTGGTAAAGCCAAGGCATTCGCGCCACTTTTCATGTTGTCATTGGTTACAGTTGTTATGGCAATTGCAAATACGTCACCACAAGCGCGAATTGTTGTACACGTTCCTTCAAGTATGGTTAAATCGGGCTCCRTGGTTTACTTCAACGAAAAGCATCAYGGGAGATTACTTTTGTCACGTGACTGGAAAGGAGATGCTAAACACTTTCAGCAGTTTGGTAAGCCATGCCTCTTGTCATCAGTATTTGAATTGTTATTACATTATCATGACAATTATTAGTTGATTTCTGGTAATACCCAATAAATCAGTTTGACAACATAACTAGACGTTTACTTAGTGTGAGCTGACTAATTTTTCTGCAAAATAAGCCGTGATAAAATCGAAAAAAGATGATAAAAAAGGCTACCTAGTGGGGCTTTGGACGTTTGCTCTTCATCGAGTAAAATAGAAAAACCTTTTTACGTTTTATAATTTATAATGTCACATACACCGACACCAATATCATTTATTTTTCTTTGGTAGCTGTGTCCCAAGCTTTCTCTGCCGTGCCAACCGCGTGCCATGCGCAGTGCAAATATTGCGATGCTAATACAAACAAGTGTATTTGTTTACGTGGGTACAAGATGATTGACGGACAATGCAGAGGTGAGAGCTTTATTACATCATTTCAAGCATCATGAAATCATTTCTTAACAAACCCAATCTTCCCATAGAGCCGCCACAGGGCCGGCTAGAAACCTCGACAAAAAATTGCTTTAATAAAAAAACACGTAATCATATACTGCGCGTGCTTGATATCCAATAAGAATACTTCTTATCATATAATTATCCATAAAATACCTATATTTCTCCTTTACGTAAAGTTGTTCTTTCCACTAGTGAAAATCATGAAACACATTCGATATTTGCTTTCATTGATAATTAT